CAAAGACCACATTGTCACTAGGTCTGTAGAAGAGGTAACCAAAGGATTACTGTGGGTAGCCGATGAAAATACACCTCTCGCTTCGAGGTTCGAGCTTATCATGAGTCTCGCATCTCACGAAAGCCTCGCAACCCCAAATCTTGATGTGGTAGTTTAGGTACTTTACCAGTCCACATCTCGTGAGGAGTTTTGGCAACTTTCTTTGTAGGGACTAGATTAAGGATATCGGCGGCAGTCTCTAAGGCATACCCCCATAATGAGATTGGTAGCGAAGCTCGACTCATCATGGAACGAACCATGTCCAACAAGGTTCGATTACACCTCTCAGCCACACCATTCAACTGCGGTGTCCTGGGAGGTGTCAATTGTGAGACAATCCCACATTCCCTTAGATAGTCGAGGAACTTTGAACTAAGATACTCACCACCATGATGGGATCGAAGCATCTTAATGTTCCTGCCCAATTGATTCTCGACTTCCTGTTTAAATTCCTTAAACTTCTCGAAAGTGTCTGACTTATGCTTGATTAAGTAGACATATCCATATCTACTGTAATCATCAGTAAAAGTCAAATAATAACGATTAGCATCCCTTGTGGCATGTTTAAATGGTCCATACACATCCGTGTGTATAAGGTCCAACAAGCCTTCACCTCTTTCACACGAGCCTGTGAAGGGTGACTTTGTCATTTTTCCATGTAAGCATGATTCGCAACTATCATCTGACTTTAGGTCAAACGGTTCCAAGACTCCATCCTTTTGGAGTTGGCCTATGCGTTTCTTGCTTATATGTCCAAGACGACAATGCCATAATGATGCTTTATCCAAGTTATTATTATTAGGAGAATCAATACACAAAACATTATTTCCCGAGTTATCTACAATAGATACAGCTTCATACACACCATCACAAGGTAATGCTTTAAAATAAAGAACATTATTAAAGGAAGCATTAATCGAACCAACTTCATTATCAAATGAAAAGGTGAAACCTTGTTTGTAGAATGCATGAAAGGAAATAATATTTCTTGCCATTCCTGGCGAGTAACAACATTTATTCAAATCTAAACTAAACCCACTACTTACGATAAAGTATAAACTCCAATGTTGGTGACAGGTGAAGCTTTCCTGTTCCCCATGATCAAGTTTATTCTTACTTGCTCCACATTCTCACTTCTTCTTAGTCCCTGCAAGTCACAACAAATATGAATACCACAACCGGTATCAAGGACCCAAGAATTAGAATGGGGTGAGTTATTAGAAATGATAGTGTAAATACCTGCATGGCTGGGTTTGACTTTCCCATCCTTCACATCCTGCTGGTACTTTGGGCAGTTTCGCTTCCAATGAGCTTTTTCATGGCAATAGAAGCATTCAGCCTCTTTTGGGTCAGAAGAAGGAGTAATGAAACCTTTCTTGGTTCCACTTGAAGAAGAGCCATCAAGGGTCGAAGCCTTGGTACCCTTCGAAGATCTCTTTCTCTTCCTCCCTCGACTTTTCCCGATTGCCAAAACCGGAGTTGAGTTTGGAGTAGGAGTGATAGCAACCGACTTCCCCTTAAGACCTGATTCTGCAGTCTTGAGAAGTCCCTGAAGTTTGCTGAGTGTGACCTCTTCCTTATTCATGTGATATGTCATGTGGAATTGATCATAGCACGATGGTAAGGAGCGCAAAATTATATCTATTGCAAGCTCCATCAGGAAGTTCACATTAAGCTTCAGCAATCGATCCACATACCTTTACATTTTCTGCATGTGGCTCGTGACGGAATCCCCATCCTTCATCATGGTTGTTATCATGGAGCAGATGATTTCGTACCTCTCTTGTCGTGCACTTTGATGGTATCTTTCCATCAAAACTTGGTGCATTTCATAAGGGTAGAAATCCGCATAGGACTTTTGGAGTTCTACTGTCATTGTGGCCATCATGATGCATGCTACTTTCGTAGCATCCCTTTCATGTGCCTGAAAGTCAGCGATCTCCTGAGGAGTTGCAGTGGTCTCATCAATCTCCTTAAGCTCCTTGTCAAGGTCATATTCTTTGTCCTCATAGCGGGTAATCATCCTGATGTTTCTGATCCATTCATTGAAGTTGGATCCATCAAAGGTGACTTTCCCACACAAACTCATAAGAGTAAAGGAGCCATTAAGATTCGAGCCAGAAGCATTATTTTAAGACATCTGAAAGAGGAGAACAAGTTTAGTATAGATTTAAGAGAGTCCTTAATAAAACACCCAAATGTAATATTAAGGCTAGGATCCAATCACAATATAATATAACTTAGAAGAGGTATGTCATAATCTAAGCTATACCATATTTGAAAGGTAGTGAATGACGATTCACCAATTTCCACCACGAAAACCGAAATATTAGATATTAGGTTTTATAATTGGTTCTTAGAAATTCCTAGATTCTTTAAGATTCAATGAACTTTTCAAAGGCATGTTTCAATCTCGAGAGTGCCCTCCAAGTTTTGCGACTGGGATACCGAGGATCACAAAACGAGGTGTGAAGTAACCATGCAAATCACTTGGTACCCTTAAAGTTTATCACTCACACTACTAGAAAAATAGCCTTTTACGACGCTCATTGTGCGTCGTAAAAGGCTCAGACGACGCGCAAATGCGCGTCAAGAAAGGCCATGTCATAAAGAGAGACGACGCGCTTTTGCGCGTCATCTATAGACGACGCGCATTTACGACGCTCATTTACGGTTCCCAATTACGACGCTCTTTTACGACACGCAATGCGTATCAAGGAAGGCCCTATCATAAAGGAAGACGACACGCATTCGCGTGTCGTAACCTTACAACGCGCGTGTTAATGACACGCTACGCGTATCAAGAAAGCCCCTATCAAGAAAGGCCATGTAATAAATGAAGATGACACACTTTTTTGCGTGTCATAATTTTAAAGTTTTAAAAAAAATATATATTTTTTTTTATAGAATTACTAATTTTCAAATTAAAAAACACATTGAAATTATGATAATACCAAATAAAATTCCATAGATAAGAATAATAATTCATTTCAAAAAAATATCACATGTCAAGAAAGTTACCTAACATTACATGTCAAACAACACTACATGTCAACACTAATAACACTTAAAAACATGTTTTTTCCTACATTTGGACCACCTACTATTCCTATTTCAGCAACCAACTTTAGGTCTAATGCTATCCACCTGTAAAAGAACAACATTAGAAGATCAACATTTTCTTGATTTGATGATTCAACATTAGTTTCCCTTTGACCTATTCCTGTTAAAAAGATACATAAGAAGAATATTATTTTATCTAATCGAGGACAACTTATGATGATAACACCATTATTAAAATGAAGTTACAACATCAGTTATTTACATAAAAAAATAAAGTTTCAAAAACTCTGAAAATTTGAAATCATGATAAAAAAAACGAATATTATTTTACAAACATACCTTGTTACAGTTTATCATTACTTCCAGCTTTCATGGCAAAAAGTTCACTGGTATCTTTTAATTCAACCAAATGAACACTACAACCAATCAATTTCAGTTATTCATGGTGAGAGCCTTTGGAAAATAGAAACCGAAACTATATTCTCCTGTATCGATTATTTTGCAATGATAGGATGAAATTAATTTGGGAAAATACTAAACAAATTTAGAAAATTACAAGAAACGTTAACCATAAAAAACAAACAGACAATAGTGTATATTTATCTATTTAGCACCGACTCTAGAGTCTAGGCAGACATAATTTACAACAGCTGTCAAATACACAGTCATTTATTATTCAGCATTTTTTTATAAATAAAAGGGTAAAATGGTCATTTACTTACAGTTTATTCATACCAAAAAAGAAACAGACTTGTGTAATGTATACAACACTTACTACAAACAGACATTATTTACCCATTCTGAACAAACTCTAGACATATTAAATTAATAGTCAATTGTTAAATGTTATTCAACATTGCTTTTAAAGAAAAGGTTAAAATGGTAATTTAATCACATAGTTCATTCAGACCAAAAAAGAAAGACTTTATGTATACAGCACATACTACAAACATACATCATTTACCCATTTAGAATTTACCCTAGACAGATCAAATAAACAATCACTTGTTATTCTACCTTGTTTCTAAACAGAAGGGTACAATGGTCATTTACTCAGAAGTCATTCAGACCATAAAAGAAAGACTTTATGTATAGACAGACATCATTTACCCATTCAGAACTTACTTAAGAGTCGAGACAGATCAAACAAACAGTTAATTGTACACCAAGTCAAACCTACTCACTTGTTTTCTTGGATGTTGAATCTGAAACCCAATTACCAAATCTTAAAAATATTAAATTAAAAAGAGTTTTTCATGAAAAAAAGTTTATTTGACTGATTAATGTGAGGAGAAAGGGTTCGAGTTGACTCACCTGAACAACAAATACATTTTCAGATGCTAATTTTTTTACAAAGTTACCAATTGATATAGTATCTCTACCACATGCAACCATCAATAAAGGCCCATCCCTAACAGAAAAAAAATGATTAATGATAAAAGAAATGCAAATTTAGTTAGAAGTAAGTTGCTATTCTTAAAAATTAATGGTAAAAATCTATAAGAAAGGCTTACTTCTCAGTAGTTCCTCTTGCCATTGTTACTACTGACTTAACATAAGCTTCAATTATAGATGATAAGCCAACACTTACACCATTTTATGTGGTCAAAGCATTTGACTTTACTCCATTTAGTTGTAAATAGATTAAACACTTCATGCGTAGCCCATCAGTTTAGGATGAATTACAGTTATTTTGGTGCTACTGTTAGATTAAACACTTCATACGTAGCCCATCAGTTTAGGGTTCCACTGATCTCGATAACTGGGCTAAATCACCATGGACAACCAATTATATTCGGTTTTGGATTCCTTTGAATCTGATTGTTCTTACATTTGGCTACTCCAAAATTGGCTCCATGCAATGTCAGAAAACCAACCTGTCTCCATCACAACCGAACCTAATCATCACATTCAAATGGCTGTTTCACAGGGTTTTCCCCAAACCCATCATTGATTCTGTAAATGGAGAAAGAGAAAGAGAACATAATTAGCTTAGCTATGACATCAACAAAATCTAAACCTTTCATAAAAAAACTCATAAATCTTACTCAATAAAATAGATTTTCCATTGAACTTAGCTATTATACGATGTCTAAAATAACAAAAAATTTCACTTGGGACTTTCAAAAAACACCTGGATGGCATCCAGATTGGGACATCTTCCTTCTATTTATATGTACTCAGACAGGGTAACTTACAACCGATTCAAAAAAGAAACACAATAAAAATAGATGATCAATACTAACAAATAGAAAAAACAAAGATGCAAATATATATTTACCAAGAAAAGAGGTGAACTGAGTTGGTAAGTGTGTCACAGGGAGCTGCGATGGATTAAAATGAAGATATGGATTCTTCAGTCGTTGAAGAGGTGAACTCAAATCAGAGATGGATGCAAAATATAACTAAAACCGAGTTGGTATTTGCAATCCCATCACTACCCCTTATAACAGCCCAAACCTGTAAAAAAAACACACCCACTAAGCAAAATATAATTATGCAAAAAAGTTTGAAGCATTTCAATCCTAATCAAAAGATACTTTTGGAGTCCAGAAACTATCATAATTTTTTTTATATTTGAATAAAACTTCAACTTTTAACAAACTAGCAATGTACCTGAATCAAACCAAACATCCATTGTATCAGTTCCTTTCACATAATCTGATGCTTTATCACGATATTTCTCAGGAAGCAATTCTTCTACTTTCATATACCACCATGCATCACTACCCTTTTGGGAAATAATTGCTACAAAAAAAATACAATCATCAAATGTTAAATTCCATATACATAAGTAAACTCTTTTCCTCTCCTTTTCATGTAACTTTATAAATCTAGAAAGTAATCAAGGTTTATATTACATCCTTACTTTTGATATGATCAATAGTGTCTTCATTTAGCAGATGCCCTTTACTCTTAACAGGTTGCAACAACACATCCCACAACCACCCTTGCACGGTGGCCTATGGTGAGCCTGGGAGGAGCACCAACGATAATGACGTGGTGATTATTCTTAATATAACAAACACACACAACACAACAAAATCCATAATCAAAGGGGCTGCATAAATCACCACACACATCCATATTTGGATGCCAAGGTATAGTTTCATATTTTCACTCTTTAAATATAAATAAATTCACATATCTTTTTTTTATATTTGTTGCAGGGTGATGTGGATATCTTTTTTTTTTTTTTAATATTTGTTGCAGGGTGATGCCAAGGTACAGTTCCGGGAATATGTAGCTTCATACATCGGTGTTTATGGAAGAGTTTGGTTTGACCAAAAAGACAAAGACAAAAGATGGATATAACCCTTTTCTCAAAGACATTGTAAATAGTAAATTTTACCTTAGTGTTCCGACACATAACACCAAATAAACACTTCAATAGAAAAAAAGAAAAACATGAAGAAATAGTGCATTTTAGAGCTTTTCACTGTTGTATTGTAGAGTTACGTGCATTTTTATGTAATAAATATCAACATATACTTTCATCTATTTTTTTTCCTTTTTTAAAATTCAGGGGTGTATTTTTTTTTATTTACATGAAACTAATAAAGAGATCCACCGAGACCTCACCTCACCTTCTGTGACACTGAAAACTAAGAGGTTGATGAGAGGGGTTGAGTATACACAATTGAAATACAACAAAAGTGTAAATAACAAGTGATAAGTACTAAAATACCATTTCAACTGGGCATTGAACCTAAATCATTAGAAAAAACACAGAAATATAATTCAAATAACAATTTATAACCTGATTACACCTCGCCAGTCTGCTTTAATACCAATCTGGAATAATAATATTTAATCAGAAAAAAACACAGAATAAGATAAAATCATAATTTATAAATATATAATATAGAAATATAATACAAATAACAATTTATAACCTGATTAGATTCTTCTTTAGCCTTTGGACTGGAGAATATGTTGACTAAAGACTGCTGAACCTATTCAGTTAAATTATTGAGACTACTAAATCCAAATTCCTTCTGATAGGTAGGTGATTGGGTACCAGATGTAAACAGGTAAGCTTCACTACACAAAAAAGTTGTCTATTATATTTCAAAATGAAGTTAACTAGCTCATAAAGGAAAGAAATTAAAAGAGATTTTTGTAAATTTTGTATATGAAATTAATAACCCTGCTTCAATAACATGCCAAATAGAGTTTCTGATTTGGTTGTCAAACCTACAGCAACAACAAAGAAAGATGTCAAACTTAATAACTAATGGTATCCTTATTAACACAAAATACATTTCACCATCTTTGATAAGATTGTTAACAAGTTGACTTGCTGCTAACAAGCCATCACTAATAAACATTGATTTATTGGTAAAATTGAACCTAAATTCCAAGTATTATAGTTCAATTATCTTTTTCTCAAGTCCTTTTGTTGCATATAGATAGACAATGTAGCAAAATTGGTCTCATCTTGGTAAAAACCTAATAGAGACATTATGTCGAGCACCTTGTGGGCGCAGTAGGTGACCTAACAGAAACATTGCGTTGAGCACCTTGTGGGCGTCAATAACTTATTCGTGTTCATGGAAACAACCCTCCAAAGTAGCTTTACGACTAGACAAAGAATTTGACTCAAGAAATTAGAGGAAATACCACTCAAATCATGTCTTCTAAGGGAACAGGGAGTATAAAGGGATTATCTAAGGTGAGAATCTTTTTTATTGTGATTGTGGACAACAATACATGGAACAATACATATATTGCTACAGTGGGAAGGGCAATATCGTCATATGAGGATAAAGCTTATGAGATTATGAGTTCAACACAAAAATGGAAAGTATGCAGCTACGAAAGAGCCTCATCTGTAAAATTCCACACAATCATGGACGCCAAATACACCAGGAGCCGAACCCAAGAACCTTAAGCTAATTACGTGAAATATTTAACATGAGGAGTTCAATTTATTTATTAATCACCCAACAAAAATAGATAGGGATCATTTTTGAAAAAGATATAAGATAAAAGAAATGGAGACATCGCCATGGAGGGTAATAGTTTTAGAGAGAGAGAGAGAGAGAGAGAGAGAGAGAGATGTTGCCATGAAAACTCACTCGACTAAAACAACCAAAATCTAATTTTTATCATGAGAAAACCAGTAAGCTTTGGGATTTTTTAGAAATTATGGAGGAGTGAGGATAGAAGAACGAAAACATTAGGAAGAGAGAAAAAAAAACAAAACATACCTTAGTCAAACTAGGGCATGTAAATTTGAGCAATCGTCATAGTCTCTGACGAGGTTAGATGACAGGGTCTCCGACGAGGAGAAGTGAGCACGAGGTCACCTGAGGAGAGGTGACCAAAGAGGTTGTCGAATGAATGAGGCGAGACAAGGTGAATCTTCGACTGTTGCTACATCCGGCCTATGAATGCTTTGATGTCTTCCCTTAATAGTTGGTGTGGGATGAGTCGAATAGAGTTCTTCTATGCCAAAACCTTAAATGGATGTGAGACTGAAGAAGAAAAGCGTACGTGAAGGAAGTGTTTTTGAAACTCTTGATGAAAATCACGATTATATGTAAGTGGGAAATAAAAGCCCTAGTTGTTGGCCGCCATTCTGTGATCTTCAGGAATAAACGCCACTTTTTAAGAAAAAAATTATAGAACGATTATATGAGTTGTTGAGGTTTATAGCAGAGACAGTATCGTGGTTAGGGTTTGCAGAGAGAAGGGAAGAATAAAACGAAGGGAGAAGGGAGATCTTGAAGCGGGGTATTTAAAAATTTTAGAATTTTAAGAGGATTTCATTTCCCCCTTATAAGAGCGCGTGTTTTGAGTAAAAATTATAAAGCGACATTCACAGAGGACGTGCAGTTTAGATAAAGTGCCCTCCGTGTTTTTACTTTTTTTTTACATGAGACACTAATTTATGGGCGCGCAATAATGCGTGACCTAAATCCTTAAATTTTTTGAATAGATGACACTTTTTTAATGTCACTCTCTTTTGTGTAACATAAATCAACGAGTGTCGTATTTTGCGCGTCGTAAAAGGTTATTTTTCTTGTAGTGTCAATCGATGTGTCGGTAAACCACACACGCTCCACCGATACTATAATAAACCTTAAGTCACCCTTTACCTACCTTGTTAAGTCCAAGTTAGTGTGCCGGTTAACCACACACGCTCCACCAACGACTTAGACAAAGTGTAAAGTGTAATTCCATGGATTAGCACCTTATTCACATTTTCCTAAAGTAACTAAGATTGGGAATTTAATAAGACATTTAGTTACTTTATAATATTCATCATACTTTGAATGAGAATTTATAAGTCCTTGTCTTACCCGTTCGGCTAACGACCCTCCACCAGTCAAGCAAGCGGTGGGTGAGAGTGGACACCCATTAAGTCACCATTTTATAGGCAACAACCTTATATCCACCTTATAGACCGGCTTCGTGAATGAGGCGTACTAGCGGTAAGACGACTTTATTCTTATACATACATATATATATATATATATATATATATATATATATATATATATATACATAATTATTAAATCATCATAATATAAGTATAAAGGTTGAATTTTAACTTTTAAAATTCTAGGGGTTGGAACTAAAGTTTTAACTTAACTTTACTTGTTCCAAAACTTGAGGGCAAGTTTTGTAACTTTCAAAACTTTTCATTTCTTGTAACTTATGAGTTTAATAAAGTAATAAAATGAAGACTCTTCATTTTTCTAACTCTTGTGTTCTTTTAATGATTTTAATTCAAGTGTGACTCTTGGTTTTCCATAACTTGAGGACAAGTTATGGACTCCATTAAAACACATTATGATCAAGAATTAATCTACCACATAGGTTACAAATAATTCCTATGATCATCTAAAATATCATAAGAACAAGAACATGAATATGAACACAATCAAAAATTACATTTAAAACTTTGTAATTTTGATCACTAGTTGTTGTGAATGAATTAGAAAGAACATTACACCATCAAAACAAGTTTTCAAGTACCAAAACAGTTTAGGGTAATGTTTCTAGTCTATTTCCAAAAACTAAAATCGAAATTCTACAATCAGTCGATCCTACTCGCCGAGTGCATGAATTTACTCGCCGAGTTGGTTGAAGATACACGTGAACTCGCCGAGTCCCCCCTATAGACTCGACGAGTCCGCTCGTAGACAGCAAGATTTTCGACTTTTTTCAACTTTTAAGCACAAATAAAAAGCAAACAAGCCTAGGCTTTGATACCACTGATGGGTTTTGAGCATTCTAACACTTCCTAAGTGTACATGCAACCCTAATAACCTTGGATCTATGTTTGTCTAATTATCATGCAAAGTTGAATTCCAAGGCTATATTCCTATCTAGCATACATGGGGAACAATTTTAACTTAAAGTATAGATAAAATAACTTACCTTGTTGTTGTTTGTGTTATTTGAAACCTTGTGAGCCTAGCACCCCAAGTGTGATGCCTCAAATGCTTCACACAACACCAAATGCTCTTGGAAGAACTTATGAGAGAAGACACACTTCTCAAAAATCGGCCAAGCCCTCTTGTTTCTTAGTGTAGCCGATTTTGGTGGAGAATATGTTTCTTATATAGTATTGACACATCTAGGGTTAAACCCTAATGTGTCATGACTCTTCATTTCCATGACCCATGGGTTTGTAACTCCCATGGAGCATCCTATGGGTGGAACCCAACTTGATAATCCATGGAGCCTCTTAGCCCACTATACAAGATATGGATGATTTACATAATCAACCCATATATTTAATTAGTTATCTTTTGATCACATAATTAATTCTAAATTAATTCTTGATCAAACTAATCAAATAATATTATTAATATATTAGAACTTATAATATATTAATAATCTCCAAGTGTTATTTCTCTCATTTAGACTATCCAATTGCATGGTGCCATGCAACCCAAATGGACCATGCCGGGTCGGGTCAAGTACATACCAGAAATAGTTATGGACTTAGACACCTTATCCAACACTTAGATCATTCATGCAAGCTCCTAGTTCATTAGCCAAGCATTGGAAGGGGTTTGGGGCATCAAAAACCCCTTTTTAGGGTGTTTACGGTTTTGGGAGGTTCCAAAACCGTAAACCCATGTTCTTGGGGTTTTTGGGTTTTTAATCCATGGATTTGAAGGTATGTTAAGGAAACAACTAGCTAGGAGGGGTTTACTTACTGATGTGAAGCTTGTAGGAGTGTTTCTTGATCAAAACCTGAACTTGTAGAGAGAGAGTAGAGAGAGGAAGTTTCTAGTGTGTGTAAAAAGTGGAAATGAAGACCACTCAACCCTTATATAGGGTTGAGGTTACTGCTAGGGTGGGGGTCCACCAAACACCAACGACAAACGGGGTTTTCACATAATTTTT